ACAACACCCTGAGAACAGTAACTAAGGTGCACAAAAACTTTATACACTTTGCATTCAAGATAATAAATAAATAAATAAATAAAAAGTGAATATCTTCTACCCAGAACTCCGTAGTTGGGATAGTTTTAACTTTACCTAGTTCAAATTATGTAAAACAAATAAATAAAAACTCCTATTAAGCACGTTTCCAATCCAATTATCAATCAGTTAATCCATGAAAAATAATCATCAGATCAGCCCTGCTCTGTACTGATGCTAAGTCCAGCAGAAAGGGCTGAGCTTTTCACATGTTGATGTCAGAAGTAATTTTTAGCTGTGATGCATTCATTGCTACAAATGATCCAATGTCCCTTAAAGGAATGTTATGTTATTGCATTTTAGAGGATAAAATGCTTGTTTTCTGATTTAACAAAGGAATCAACTTATTTGTTTGTCTGCATTTTTAAATGCATAAAAAAGGCTTGAGAGGTTAAATAAAAAATCTGCAGAATAACGTGCCAATTTTTTTATCCTATTATTCATCATTATAATCTATATATTTGATCACTAAAATGATCACTAGTTGCAGCCGTAGTCAACTATTAGTCACACTATCTCAAATTGGGCTTTCATTGAAGAAGAAGAAAGTCTTTCCTGACAGAAAGACAAAAAAATCCCACAAATCATGCAGGAAACTCAGCAAACGTGGCAGAATTTGAGCTTTTGGCTTTTGGCACGTGAAGAACTGCATAAGATGAAAAACTAACAATGATGACACCTTAAAAACCATCCTCGCAGTGAAAACTGGTGGTGACTCCCAGCATGCATTGGGGAACAGTTGACGAGAGGATGAGTAGAAAACAAACCACTGGTTCAGGCCAAACTTTTCCAAGTGAGACTGTTCTCTTAAAGCTGCGTCTTCCATCGTGTTAATCACACCAACGTAAGGATTTTTTCGCTCTTTCAAAAATAAAACCCATGCATCAGTTTCCTTCCCTATCACATGCTCTACATTATGTTGGTCTATCAAATAAAACCCCAAGAAACGACATTAACACATGTGGCTGAGTGTGACAAAATCTGAAATAGTTCAGAAAATATCAATCCATACATAAGGCATTGTATAGCAGCTAACAACGTGCCAAGTCGTCTTCTCACTTTAAAATTAAACCACATCACCACTTCTCTTCTGTCGCGGTAGCTGTGACCCAGCTGCTGCTAACAGAGATGGGTTCTGGTTCCTTTAAGTACGCGGCCGAAGCACTGACAAAACAACGCAATCACTGCCGAGATGCAGCAACGCCGTCAGAAATTCAGAAGCTCCCAGAACAGAAAGTGAAAGTGAAAATGGACTGCAGAGTCTGCAGCAGTTTTACATTACCATCATGCTCTCCCTCGATGTTTTGATTGGCCTCAACAAAGTCCCAGAACTTGTCCGGGCTCTCCTCTGCCAGAAACTCGCTGAAGAAGAAGAAGCAAAAACAATAAGTGACATTTTTATGATGCAGCCATAAGCAGTGGTGAGAAAAAAGTGTTGCGCTGTTTACAATTTATTATTTTTCTACACGTGAAACATAGATGCTTCAGATCATCAAACAAATATATGTATATATTAGACACTGATAATACAAGTAAATAAAAAATGCAGTGGTTAAATTAAATTTTAGTCTCATCAGCATTTTCCCAAATGTCTTGGGACGTCAAGATGTCTTCTGGGAAAACTGAGATGAGGATGCATCTTTATCGTGTTGGAACTACGCCATGCAGGCCACTTTGCTATGGTGGAGTCCTAAAGTGCTTTCTTGGTTGAGAGCAGGTGTGGCAGTAAGAAGCTCTGAGTATGTCTAGAGAAACTGAGCACAGCTTTCTAAAGATGTGACACAGCGGGACACATAGTTTTGTATTTTTCCATAATTAATGTTTATATTTAAACTCAGAATTTTGTGCATCTAATCTTTTTCTAATACTTAAATTCGTTGAGCTGAAATATTCACGTTTGACAAACACAAAGGAGGAAAATACTTTTTCTCATCACTGTATACAACTTAATCGTTTTTGTTACTTTTTTTTTTAAGCAAGCAGATTAAACTCAGGGGCAACAGAGGACAGATGCTGACTGACCTATGTGCGAATTTCGTACAACACAGTAAGAAATCTGCTACAGCAATGTTGTGTGGTACCTGGCTTCCAGCAGCAGCGGAGTATCAGCCCATTTGGTTGCAAGGGTGGTGGTGATGGCCTTCGAGTCTGCCGCACTGGAAATAAGCGACAGCAGAGACAGGAGCAGGACACACAGGAGCCACATCCTCCTGCCTGTTCCTGAGGAGAGACAACAAACAGAAGTGGTGACAACGATCGGACCCTTATTTAAAATGGATTTAAAAACTGACGTTCAACTACAATTTGAGCTGTTGGATCACAGTGAGCAGACGAATGTTTGGAGGAGTTATGCTCCAAAAATCTAAAAAGTTCAAAAGCCATCACTACCACAGGATGTGAAACATCTTGGATTACTCTCGACTTTATGCCACTAAAGTATCATTTAGCAAAAAATCTTTTTAATATTGTGGAACCTCACTAAGTAATGTGACTGGACTCACAGAACAGTAAAGTGGCCTACTTTACTGGATTCAACAGAAGTGAGAGCAAGTGATAAAGTACAATCAGTTTCAAGTGAATCTTTCAACAGGTCACAAGAAACCAATAATCTAAGCGCCACTAGATTTTGCCAGTCTTTTGTAGTCTTATAACATTGAGATAAGACACTTCTCTGCTTTATTGTACCACAGGTTCCTAATAAAACTCAAGCATGTGGTGCAAGAAGAGCAGTCGGTCCATTCATTTTCCCACAATGCAGATGTGCAAAAGAATCAGAGTAAAGGAGGCCGAATGCAAATACACACCAAGCTTTTATCACTGCGTTTACAATGTGATTGCAGATGTTCAGGTATATTTTGTACAGTAATTTAGAATAACTTGGTGAAGTTATCCATCAAAATTTGTTGTATAGGCGAGTCTGAGTTGGTTTCTAATGAGGCAAAAATTAATTAAAGACAATTTATAAAACAGAAGGTAAGGCAGCTACTTGGAGGGAAACATAAGTGAATCGTATCCGGTTAATAACTGGTTTACGACTCATTTTTGACAGATATCAGCAGAATAAGATGTTGTGCACCTGCAGGGATATATCATAAGTAAATAAAAGGCTTCCTGAACTCCGTCCAATAAGCACCTTCAGCGTGGCTGCTCTGTCCAATAAGCAAACAGCTTCAAGATCCTCAAGCTCCTAAAAGATGTTACGTTAGAACTAGTAGCTAACTAATTGCTGCATTTAGCAAGCAACTTGTTAAGATTTTACAACACTGGACGTTTTAAAGGCAAGTATAGCAATAACTAGAGTGAAAGGAAATCTCAATGAGTTAACCCAGCCTTCTGCTGGGTTGTAAACGAACAGCCAACAATATTAACTCCTCCTACATAAAAGGAAAACCATATTTTTCTGTTTCTGTGAAAACACCTTTAGTCACCTTCTCTATGACAGCATGAAACAAGATTAAATAAGAGTCACATTTAGCTGCAGAGCGCTTAAAACCACTGATTTATCCTCACCGAAGCCGGCTCTGTAGCTTCCTGTTTCCATGATCCGCTGAGGGTGGGTCCTCACATCCGGATTAGGTGACTAAGACTTTGCCTGTCCAGAATGAATAGACTAGAAGCAGCACTAAGCAAGCATGTTTAGGTTTATTTTAAAAATTACGTATCTTAAAGTATATTAGTAATATTCACTAACAAAAATCAAACACTTTTATTTAAAAACAGAAAGAAAAAATTAAATATTAATATCTGTAGTTGCATTTTATTAACATAAATGAAGATATCTAGATTGCATTTTGAAAGTCTGTGGTATGTAAAAGTAAACAGCATGTTGATTTTTTTTAGTTATGTTTTAAAGACTTATTTTTGCTTTTGTATTTTAGTGTTATATTTTTATACATATTGTGGTTCTGGAGTTAATATATAAAGCTTCAATCAATACTATGTCAATGTTTATTTCTTAAAGTGAGGTTTTTTTTTTATGCTGAGAAAGCGAGGTATTTTCTAAATGTTGCTCGTTGTTATCTCGTCTCCCCAGGTCCGTTAATGTCGTGTGTAAAAACCATAAAGACAACAGTCACTGTTCAACTTCTCAATCAGCTAGAATTTATTCAAACAATCAAGTGCATAAAATCACACCAACAGCTCAACATGACCATCAAATACCAAGCCAGAAAAGAAACATTAATTACCTGAAAACAAATACAAAAAGACGAAGACGCGCCTTAAGACAGATCAACCACAGCTGTTTTAGCTCAGTTACTTTAATATCAAGGTGTGTTTCTACTGTCTGATGCGTTCTAACATATGAAGCCATCCTCCTTGCGTACTTTCCCAGGGTACGAACAATAGATGTGTTCATTTTCATACAGAAACATTTTACTCAAGAAAGCGGGACCAAAGTTTATCAGCTATCTGTGTTTCTCATTTCAAACTGCCTCAAACTGGCTCCCCTGACCTCTCCTCCGACCCAGTGCATCAAACAGCAGATTTTGATTATAAAAATTAGCACATTTCATATAATATCTTCAAACTCTTATAAAATAGACATGAGCAGTTTCAATACCAAAACATCTGTTACTCTCTGATTAATTTTCAATTTCTTTGGTTATAATGAACTAAAACATTTTCAGATTAATATATGACTTATAGACTCTTAAAATGTGATCTAATATAAAATAACTACTGATTACACTAATTTTAATCAAATCGGGATCATTATATCTAAGAAAAATGTTCTAGTGATTAAGTTACATATTGATTAAACTATGAGTCTAAATTGAGGCCTACTCAAAACAATCGGGATCAGTCTAATAGTTCAACATGCGCTAAAGTTAAAGCTATCATTAAAACTAGCATAATAAAACTAATATTTCCAACAAAATCTAGTTATTTAGTTGTGGTTAGTGGAATAAAACCTTGTTAAGAACCTCATTATAAAGACAAATTTAATTCTCATACTTTTAATATTTGACCTTTAAATGCCAAAAGTCAAACAATTGGCATTTGAAAGGAAAAGAAAGTCCTGCAATCTTACCCCACACTACTGATTTAGATAAATTGTTTCTTAGTCTGTATGTTCTGAAGCACAAACAGTGGAAATTAGCTGTCTCATGGTTCACTTTACTTTCAATAAGCTGATGCCTCTCTGCTCTCCAGCAACACTCTAAAAACTGCTGGGTCGAAAACAATCCAATTGATTTTTCTCACCCGGGCTGTCTTGGGCTAAACATGTACGGATCCATCCAACCCTGGATTGACTGGACGCAACAGGGATGGGGTACGAGCATGATGATTTATATTTTCAACCTAAATAAACAGCTATGTCTAACTATAAGGCTACCAATGTGGAAAATGTGCAGTTGCCATGCTGCCTTTCTGCGAGAAGGTCCTGGGTTTGAATCCTGGCCTGAAGTCTTTCTGCATGGACTTTGCATGTTCTCCCTGTGCATTCCTTGGTTCCCTCACGGCATCCAAAGGAGGAAGCCTGCTAAACAAAGTGCTGGGCCAGGATTGCTTTCCATGAGAGAGAGAAAAAAAGAGAATGTACCAAGAGTTAAAGGTAGCAATAGCTTTATAGGCGGCTTAAAACAGGAAACTAATCCAAATAATTTTACAAAAAACACCTGTGATCTTCATGTTCATCCTTTCCTGAAGTCTGCTCAACATGTTCTGCAGACAGTCCCTCTGGGGGAGACTGGTGACATACGACAGGCCCCTTGCCAACCTGTTGCATTGTCTTGATTAAATAGGGTGCAAAGACATGGCTGTTGATTTTCCATTTACTCGCTCTGTAGCCTAAATTAAATTGGACAGTTGATCCTCCAAAGGGAGCAGTTCCAAGGTTTGACTTAAAATTTTATATATATATATATATATATATATATATATATATATATATATATATATATATATATATAAACAAAATGAAGGCATGACCTTCATTTTGACATGAACATGTGGATAGCCCACGTATAGATGCTTGAACACACACAGTAAACTAACTTGAAAGTCAGCTGCGTCCCTATGAGGACGGGCCAAATCATCGCAGTAAGTCCTCACAAGTATAACTAAACTGAGCCTGCAGCACCCTCACACACACACACACACACACACACACACACACACACACACACACACACACACACACACACACTGCCCATGGCGCCTGTTCATTTGTCAGGAAGGTGACATCTTCAGATGAATTATGGGAGATGGTTGTCATCTTCTCCGGGGTCACATACGAAATGGCGAGCCTGGGCTCTGGGCTCCCTCTGCTCGCGCTATCACACGTCAGCCATTTTAGAGGTTGAAAGCCTCGACGGGGGACCAAAGCGACCTCAATTAAACCTCCATTAATATTAATACATTTTGTCGTTTCACGTGAGCTGCCGCTAATTAAATGTGTCCCTGACTGTATAATGGGGGTCAGCCGGGGTCTCTAACATGAAGCTAATTCGCCACATTACAGCAGCCGAACTCGGAGCTGCACTGCGCTCCAGTCTTAAATACAGCTGCAGAAGAGGCCGATTGCTGTTTTGGAGCACGTAAATAATCACACACTTTTTCAATTAGGCCTGCACTTCCCGATGTTTGGGTCAGTGCCAAACTGTGGGAAGCAGAAGTTGCCTGTTTATTTAAACAGGATCCTTGTTTTTGCAATTTAATTCTAGCATAAATACATTCGACGGCCTTAGAGGTTTGTTCAAAAACAGAGAAAAATAGCATCATGAAAACCAGGGAACATAGCAGACACGTCATCAAAGGAAAAGCACCATGTGGCAGAAAAGTTACTCTTAAACATCACATTAAGGACATCATCCCTGGAGCAAAACATAATGGTGGCAGCATCATGTCCTTTCAGTGAGATGACCTAAATCAGTTTAAATGAAAGCATTTTTATGTGTTAGAATGGCCCAGTCAAAGCCCAGACTTATACCTAACTGAAAGCTAAACCTATAACATGTTCACAGATGACTTCAATTCAATTTGAGATTGAGCTATTTTGCAAAGAATAGATAAAAATGTTGTTGTTCAGGAAACAATGTATTTCTTCTTCACAACTATGCAGCCCTTTCAAGTGATCTATCACATAGATCCTAACAAAATTGACTAAAATTTGCAGTTACAACACAAAAGTTTGAAATTTACAGGTTATGAATACTTTGTAAATCTCATTTACCAGGCTTTTTGTGTTTAGCACTCAGCTGTAGTCAGGGGTGAAAGTAGGTGGGTACGGTAGGGTACTGTGTACCCGTAAAAGATTTTGTTAAACGGGGGAAACAGAATCTGATGGCCACATTTCAGGTGATTTATGAACATCAGATACCGTTTCAAACTTTAACACAGGGGGAAGAGTATCTGATGGGTAATATTGAGCGCTAAAACACATGGCTCTGGTTTTAATTCGTATAGCACTATGAGGTTGGGTTCTAACACATATGGTGCATATC